ATCATGGGGCGGGGGGGTCCCCCCCCACCCCGGGCCGCCCTTCGTTGAGTGCGGGTGATGGCGCCGTGAGCCTGAGGGGCCTGACCGCCCCGGGAGCGACCCTGAGGGAAAGGGAAGGACCATTGCGAAACAAGACGAGAGGTTACAAAACACGTATCAAAACAGTTTTTATTTCACAGCATCTTGTTTTCACAAGTTCATGGGGGGGGGGAATAATGGAACAGGCTACAGCGCAGACTTTTAAATAATGGAGTAAGACAAAAACATAACAGTACTGTTTACATAAAAATGTACAGCCTCTTATCAAAAGAGCTCTCCGCGCCGAATCAACCCAGCAGCATCTTTACACGGTTCCCAGCGCCAGACCACCCCCGCGCATAAACCAGCGCTTCGCCGCAAAGCGAGAGGAGCCGGGCTGCGAAAACGTAAAGCCGGCAGGTCCATGTATTATTTTGGGTCCCACTTTCAGTTTATTAATTGGTAACGTAGTAATAGTCCTTTGCCACATGGTGGCAGCTTTTAGGTGAAAAGATAAATATTCCCACACAGGACTGCAAGCTACACTCTAGAAATAGAAAAATCAACACATACACACACACACGCAGTACCGTATCACCGCAGAAGGACTGTTTCTGCACACATACCAGCGTACAAGCCGCAGACTACGCCTCTGGACAGCATCGGCCCCGAAGCCACGCTCTACCAGAAACACGGGCGCAGCGTTTGCTCCACCGCGTCGTTTCTGGCCTGTGCTCCAAACAGCTTTTGAGCTCAAGAACACTGCATGTGCCCAAGCCAACCTTCAGACACCATTCTGTAATTTAATGCTCCTTATCCTAATCTGTTCTTCTAAAAGAGAAAACAAAAGCTTGCCACTTCATCACGTGAAACCATAACTTCTGGGAGTGTAACTCCAGCCCAAATGCCCACTGCAACTAGACGAACTTCCACTGAATAGAGACCGCGAAGTGTTGCGAACCAAAGTGCGTTTTTTTTTCCTTAGTGGTGAGAAAGGAAAGTGAAAGTGATATTTGTTAAGAAGTTCCCAGAGAAAGACATTTTCTGACTTCATTCATACTAACCGAAGCGTTCTGCTATTTCTGGAGATACCGCCTGAGAAATTTCTTTGCTCAGTTCTACCTCTTTCCCCTAATGACTTTAGGAAGCGGTGGACCACTTCAGTTGTCTTCACCACTGTTTGCTAATTCGAAGGCTCGTTATACACTAGATGTTTAGTACATCACTATTTCTTGCATGCAAGGACAGTTATAGTCAGTAGAAAGTTTAACTAGTAGGCAATTTTTTAAACCTTTTGGAAGGTAACTGGCAAGCTAATCGTCTAACATTAGCTACCATCTCACTCATGGAGACTGGAAAGTCCTGTGTTAGAGAGAAGTCACAAGCATATTAAATTTTACACAAATAACTTGAAGCTACATACAGTTGGACACAGTTACAAAAGATTTGATAGTCACTGTAATTATTATATATGAAAAACACATTTCAAGCCCTACTTAAAGAGGAAGGGGCTCCAGTAAAGTTTGTTGCAATTCTAATGAAGCAAAATTAGCTTCAGATGAAACACAGCTGAATAGCAAACTCAGCTTTGTTGTTGCCTACAACCAACATTTAATACAAGGAACAGGAATTTACATTACTTTACACATCAGATAGCAGGTCCCTTACCTCAGGACGAGGTCTAGTATTTCATTTAGGAGGCAAACTTAAATTACAAATTTCTCAGTCATAATAGCCAAGCATCAGTTTTGTTCCTTGCAAGTGGACACAGCTACTTGTATCATAATATTGCTTCAGAAAATAAACCCAAGAGCCAGTATCATGGAAGGTTCCACATATAACCAGAGTTCATTCCCAACCCGGACATTTTAAAAATAAATGAAGGAATAGCCAATGGTCAGAGAAGTTACTTAACCTCTGCGTAAGCATCAGAGCGCTGCTGGCCACCAGCCGTTAAGCGGCTGTTCAGATGTGCAACAAATGCCAGTTTTATGAGGACCATCACAGTGACGCAACGCTTGGAAGAACGGAGTAAAAAAGTAGCTTTTAAATATTGAGCATGCTTTGTTTCATTGGCTTGGTTTGGCAGCAGTAGCTCTACTGACTTAAGTATTTGCTCAGAGCACGCAAGACCATATGTAATACAGTCATACTAAAAAGGTGCTTATTTCAGACTACGGCACACAAAATCATAAGTGATACATTTGACAGCAAATTGCTCTTAGTCAAGCGCTCATCTTCCACTGAAGAGTGAATTAGGATGGCAATCGCTTTGCTGCAGCTACCTTGTTCAACACGTGGTATTTCATGACAGATTTTTTCAAACGATCTTTCCTTTTTAAATAAACTGTATATTTTTAAGGTATTAATAGTTAACTAAATTGGAATGGAGTAATTTCAATCTTGCTACTTATACATCTATAGTATAGTAGAGAATAGATGCCCTGTGTATCATTAGTGCAGATATACTGGATTTGTTTTCCTTATATGCAAGGCCAATGCAGGTAAAGAATAAATGGCTATACAAATTCAGGATTCCCCACTAAATAACATAACTAACTTAAAAAGCACTGGTACCAGACCAGCCAGTTTTAGGCACATCTTTAAAAAAATAAAGTATGCATTTCATTAATGTAAAAATGCGAGAAGATTCTTAGAAACATCTGAACTTTATGGTGCACTGGAATGGAAGTGATGCTTCCTTTAGTTTCAAGGAATACAATAAAGGCTAAAAAAAAAAAGAAACAATACCATAGTATTCTTCACAGAGAAGAACAGTTTTAGTAAAACCGAAAAGATAAATAAGGAATAATAAGCAGCCATGACAGCTGACTGGTGAATATTTGTGCTTTAAATGTCCAAAAGAAAATAAAGTTCAATAACTCTTCTCGTACCATCCCCCAGGCTTGGCATACGTGTCCGTAATGCACACCTCAACAGTTTAATAACGCACTGCAGACTTCAAAACTAGCTGCAGCCATGGCAGGATGCACACAGCGGCACAGAAAGACCAGTGGCAATTCACCAGCAGCGCTCAGTGATGCGATCCCCAGCACCACTGGATGTCAGCTGGAACGTAGCTTTGGTTAAGACTGTTGTGTGAGCCGTCTGTAATGAGGTAAAACTTGGTTTTCAGGAAGATAGAGAGCCAGTTCCAAAGCTACAAGGACGGTGAATTCAAAACCAATGAGATCTCTTCTGTTGAATCTGAATCGCTCTTCTAGTTTCTATGACAGTAATTGAAAAAAAAAAAAGAAAAAAGGAGAGGGGGAGAAAGAATCAGTTAATCCACAAGGTACCAACGCACTGTTACATTAAGTCAGCATAAAACAAGAGTCAGTGAAGCATGGCCAGAGTGTACCTACAGAATCAAAAGTGTTGCCAGGGATCAGACAAGTAAACCAGCTTATCAGCTCAGCTGTGACACCCACACAACAGTTACATATGTTTGCCTGAGAAACAGTAAGTGCAAAAATAACCTCACTGTAGGATCAGTAGGACATTAGACTGCACCAGTCAGGTAGTTTTAAAGAATTAAAAAAAAAAACCCAAAACATCAAGGAAGAGCCCTAATGAGGCATAAAACTGACTGAAAGAGCTGGTCTTCAATGCAAGCATGCACTGCTGAAAGTCTTGGCTTTAATCTGTGTCTTGTTCTATGAGCTAGAGGGAAGGTTTTGACAACACCTGAAACAAGTCTCATAGTACTTACATCTATAAGGTGTTTAACTTCATGTTTCCTGAGATCACTGCTGATCTTGGCTGCAAGCAGAACACAAGCACCAGCACACAGTTTGCGGTTCTGTTTGTTGAGTTTGCCTTGGAGGACAAGCTTCTCAAAGTAAACATAAGCCATGGAGACAGTAACCGGCTCCAGACTGCACTCTTCACTCAGGTTCCGCATCTCTCTCTTTAAACTGGGAATAGGAAAAAAGGCACCCTCTCAAACACGGCAGCTTTTATGAAATGCTCTAGAAACACTGCAGCATGGGAACTCAGAAGAGCATACGGGCAAGACTCCTATTTGGAAAACCACGGCAAGTATTATCCTAGACTGAAGAAGCCCAGCTGGCAGCAAGCTGGAGCTGATACACAAACTGATTTACCGTGGCTGACGACATCTACTATGGAAGAACAGTTCCACATCTGCCCATAAACACCAGGGGCTTAGCTGTCCCACTGACACACAGGCTATTGCTGTATGGGTCCCTCTGGTCTCCCGAACTGGTTAGTGATTCATATCATAAGACTGAACCACCCTGACCTACAGAATACCACATCAAAGCCGTGCGGATCACAGCAGTTGCTGCGTAGGGACCTGCCTACTACACACCTCGCGGAAGAATCAGGTCTGTGGGGGAAGGCAGACTGGTTTACACACTTCCCACAATGGCTGGCCCTTCACTTCAGCATACAGGCAGACTTTACGGTGGATGCTACCTCTCACAGCTGCCATCCATGCTACACCTGCAAGAAGATACCTGTGCAAGCACACTACTCAAAACAGCTACAAAGAGGAGTATGCAGGATGCTGGCAGAACACACTCTGACTGAGCAAGCCTTCCACTCAGTTGAGAGTTACACATAGCCCCGGTGATTCAGCAGAATCGTGTTTAAGCCAGCTATTTCAGAAGGCCCCAATTGCATTAACCACCGTGTAATACCAGCAAGATTACAGCTCTCGGAAGGTGCAACAGTGCATCTCACCGACGAGCAGCCAGGGGCATTTCCTGGAAGATGAGGAATTCTGTGTGGCATAGTCCTGTCTTCATGAGATGCTCTTTACCGAGACTCCCCAGACCTAACGCTCTTTATCCTAGAATCTTGTTGGAGTCCATGATCATCAGTGAGTCTGGTAATCGAAAGGCAAAAATAGCCAGAGGGTCCAGAAAGGCAATCCGGTTAGAGTGGGACTGCACTACAGCCAAACAATCAGGTTACAGGTATTTGTTTCAAGGCTAATGCTGCTTCACTGTTAATTGGCTATGAGTGTTAGTACACCACAGCTGGTGAAACAAAACCCTTTTAGGCTGAACTATGACAAGTAACTGTTATCCTTTCTCAGCATCCTAAACATTCCTGTACAGGGCTGTCATCCTACAGTCAGCTCAACTGGCAAAAAATTAGTGTTCAATCATATATACTATTAATAGATCTAGTATTTGCTCCATACAAGTGGAAGATAAAAGCAGCCTTGTACAGCATAGAAGATGTTCTCATTATTCAATGCTTGTTTCTTACCTCCTAATTTTGCTCAGTGTCAACTTGATATGAGGAAACTTCTCCCTAAAGGTTTCATTCATATCCTTTTTAAGGTCCGAGGGTTTCACATATTCTATGACTGTAGTCTGAAACACAGGAAGCAAAATTTATCATTTCTCTTGTGAACAGTACTGACAGCCAAACTCGTCTTCCAAAGACACTAATGCAAAGACAAACTCGGGTTTTATTATTCACAATTTAACACTTCTATAGTGCCCTGAGCAATAGACATGTTGAATCTCAACCACAGGCAAAATCTTAAAAAACTAGTAAGCAAATGGTTACAAGAAGCAAATGACAACATGGAGATACATGTCAGGTTGGTCCTCAACAAGCTGAGCGTACAAGCCCAACTATTTGTATTTTTCCTAATCAATTCGCAGAAAGCCACAACTTTCTCCTCCTAGAGGAAGCTCTTTATAGGAGGATCTTCCAGGCACTCACTCACTTTTCTGTTCAGGTATGCCAGTCACTCACCATGTAAGAGGCAAAGATGAGAACACGTTTATGTTTTCCACAGGGCCATTGAGGATCATCCAGAAGATTTGGATCATACTCTGCGGCTTCCCCAGCTTCACTGCCTGAGTGGAATGAGGAAAGCACAACACTGGGTCACAAGATACAGACCTTTAAATTCCCTGTTTCCTCTTTAAAAAAGTTTTCTACCAGCAAACATTAAAATTGTTGGCAGACCCCATAGTACAGGCAAACTGCAGCTACAGTCACCTGTTTGCATTCCATGAATGCACCAGTCAGATATTAGAATTATTAAAAACCCACAAGCTCTTTCTCCAGCATGTGCCTGACGCACCATTTTAGACTTAGTGCAAACTAACAGTTTGTCATCCACAAATATGCACAGAAAACAACTGCACAAGACTGAATTCTTCTGCCTATACTCTTATCTAGCAGACAGCCAAGCTGTCAGGTTTGTTCTTTTACAAGAGAAGGGATTCTTGTCACAAACTCTTTGGCTTATGCATTGTTACTGTGCTAGAAGGCAAGGAGGACCACCTGTACCCATGTACACCAGATGTTTCTTGTTGAGTAATATAAAACTTCACATTTCCAAGGAAGCGGCTTTGCACTCCTTGAATTGCATAAGCAGAACTAGCCCAGATATACAGAGGACATAAAGAATGTGTGCAAGCCTCAGTCTTAAGGCTCATTGTTTATACTTCATTAACAAGCCTTCTTTGCTAGGCTGTGCCGAAAACAGTCTCCTTCCAGCTGCAGCACATCCTTCCTAATAATGCACTTTACCATTTGCAATTGTTTCAGACAAATATATTCCTTTTATGTTCTTCTGCTGTGTGCACAAGGGGTGACAAAGCTGACAGCTGTCCTTACCAATGTCTGTTCCTGCTGGTATCGTCTTTGCTGTCACAGGTTTATATCTTGATCCAGGAAGACTCCGTGAAGCACTAGCTCGACATGAGGGAACAGCACTATGGCTGTCAGCTTTGCGAACAACTAGGGCATTGGTCGGATACAAGAATTTTGCATAGGACACAACCTTGAAGAAGAGAAAGTTGTAGTAGTTATAGGGGAAAATTTATGGAGAAGCTTATTTCCAGACATCTAGGATTTTCCAGCTCAGAGAGTCCCCTGGAGTTTTATTTGGGAGTGGGGACCTTGAAATTATGGGACAGAAGGAAAGGGAAAAGTTGGATGAGGAACGCCTTGCTTCTACAACTTCAGTATGGAAGCGTTGTAGAAGATTTGGTGGGGTAGCAAAGAAAAGGGGAGAATCACATCAGTAAAATTCTGGCAGCATATAAATTTAACTAGAGAGGTATAAATTTTGCCCATATTTCTATCAAAGCATCATTCACATGTTGCCTGAGATACCAGAGCCAAATCAATTCTCCAGAAATGGAGGCAGAACCGATCACGGGCTTCAACAGCCTCCTCAGAAGAAGCTTTATCACAAGCCAAACATTTTAAACTTCAAGGATCAAAACAAACTTCCACTGCTCTCACTTAATTTACACAGTGCTTTGCCATCCATAAAGTGATTTGCCCCAGCACAAAATGGTCCCAGGGTGAAAGCAGCCAGCTTACCCACCCACTGTCCCAGGCTCCAGTCAGTGGTTTGGTCATTGGCATTACGGATCAACAGACAAAAAAAAAAGAAAAAATTCCTTACCTTGCCATCAGCACCCAGCTCTACTCCTTCCAGTCCAAGCACCATCTCAGTGGAGACTGAAACTCCCCCAGAAGGATGTCGTTGCTTCTGTCCTTCCATTTTTAGATCACTAAATGCAGATAAGAAAATGCGCTACTGGAAAATGCAGCGTAAGTCCAGCTTCCTCTATGGTAAACACAAGGTCCATCCACTAGCTACAGCCACCACCACCAGGTCAGAGTTCTATGAGAGCAGTGCAATCCCTCAATCCCATCTCCAAGAAAGCATTAATTTTTAAGTACTCCTTTCAAAACGTAGAGATGTTCATTAACTGAAGAATCAGATTTCATATAATTTTAACTCAAATCTGTAACAATATACCTGGCAAATGTAAACTTTTTTAATATGGGCTTTCTGCATAAGACCATACCATTCGTTAACACACTAACGCTCAAACACTTAACAGTAAACATGATTTATATTACTAGTTTTCCAGGATTAGAAACTTGCCTTTCAATTGCAATTTGCCAACCACTGCGCACATAAGCTCAAATTAAGAATTAAGGCTGCTAGCAGAACTCTGCTTCAGCAATGGCAGCATGCAGCTTTGTCACCTATATTCCAATGCGAAAAAGCAGCTTTCACTTAAAGAACTGCATTGCCAGCTTACACACAAGCAGAACGACACAGTGCTCAGAACTGCTCTAAAATAGCTCCAGTGACCTTGCTTTTCTATGAAGTGGGAGAATATTTTCCCATCAACTATTTTTATGGCAAGCGTATTTGCATACAATACAATTCCCACCACTAAACATCCGTTTCCTTTGTCCATAAGTTATGTACAGGACACAAGTGACAACACAATTGTTTTGCCAAAAGCGGATTAGAATAAAATTAGTGTTTTCTATGGTATACTTGTAGATCACAGACCTTCACAGAATCAACTTAGACTTCACAAGGGACTGAGCAAAGCTGCAGGGAAATCCAGTTAGCAGGTTTGGCTTCTCATAAGTGATCATATTGACAGCTCTATACAAAAATGTAGTACAAACACTAAAAGCAGTTTCAATCAGTCTAAACTGTTCCTGTTCTTAGACTGAAAATAGTGACATTCAGGCCTTAGAGCTGAAAAACAGAAGAGCATCTTAAACTTGTTTAGATGTAACTTCACTATAAAACCTTGAAGGTTTCCAGTGAAGGTGGCAGCATCCTTCTCTGATGCTCTGTATGCTTTTTTGCTGACACAATTGTTTGTTGCACTAAAGACAGTTGATTTCTGACCACTTTAGGAGCATAGGAAATCCTACACAGCAACAAATCACATCATCTCTTCAAAGTTGTTTTCAGGGATTTCACAGGACTGGAGTGCTTTAAAATGTGAATAAACACATGAAGAAAAGTCTACCTTTTCCACTATTTTTCTCTTGGAGTTTGAATGAACACTGACACTGTGGCAATGTCTGATTTTACTGCTCTGATAGCAAGGTCTTGTCCTTACACATAAACAGTAAGTTAAGTAAGTTCACCTGCTTCAAAACAGGAGACCTACACCAACCACACTCATTTAAAAAGATCTTTTGCAAACAATAGACCAGACATTTCACAAAGCAGTTAAAGATGACTCACCTGATCCGTAAACTCTCCCCATAAGGTAGGATAGAAAAAGCCACACACAGTGTTCGTTTAGCACAGATTAACACTATCCTGTAAGCGGATGGGAAGAGGTCAGGGTAAGAATTAAGGTTCAGAAGTTACAAAGCAGTTTTTTATGGAACATGAACACAGAACTCCTTAAATTGCTCTGTAAGTTACACAGATACTGCTATGGATTTTATATTTTCAGAAAGCAGCACAAAAGCAGACGTTTCATTCTGACCCTGTAGGTCCTTAGAGCTGAGTTCTGTATCAAACCCCAGCATTCAGTACCTGCCATCACCTTGGGAGCTCCTCAAAGCAGATACTTGTCTTTAAATATATATCTATATTTATGTAATTTTTACATAAACCGTATGAAAAAATGTAGATAATATTTTACATTTAGATGAAGTCTCACACCTCTACTAATAACAAATATGGCACCCCCTTTGTCTTCTGCCTGGCAACTATGAGCCAAGAATTTGGCTAAACCAAGCCATTCTCCTTACATCCTCCTCAGCTCCAATCTCTCTGTGTGATAAGAAGGATTGTTGGAAGAGAATGATTTAACCACCTCAAAGCAGGATGGCAGAACCATCAGAATATTGCTGCAGATGTAGCAGATATGAGCACCTACTGCCTTTAATAGAAGTGTGTATAAAATTAACAAGACCCCAAGGACATCACCTTATTCGCACTGACATTAAATGGCCAATTGCATTGAACTAGAGTCTACTGCTGAGCACATCCTATTTCACCTGGGAACAGAAGGCACCTTGATCTCCAGAAGTTACCTGCTGTTCTTGGTGTCATATTGCCTCATGTTCTTGATGAAGTGCATCTTCTTCAAGCTTTTGTGTCTTGGAGACCCAGATATATGCCTGGTTCTGCAATTATAAAAAAACAACACCACCTGTTAAGTGCTCTGAAAAAGAATCATGCCAGTTGTATGATCAGATGGCAGCACTAGCATGCAGGACCTCAGATATTGGCGTGGAAGAGGGTGGAGGGAGGAGAGGACTGCATGCAACGAGTTGAGATTAATGCTGCTTTTGAAAAAAGTACCTTCGTACACTGGCATATTCCACTATGTCTTCTAAAAAGTCTAGAGAGCAGCGCTGGGAGATAAAACGCCTTCTGTAAAATGTACAACACCACGAAGAGTGAACAATATTAGTTCATGGCCTCTGAGTTTATGAACTGCAACAGATCTATGAGCTCTTAGGACAAACGGCAGGTTTTTTTGGATTTTTTTTGTTGGAAGAAGTGCTTAACTAAGAGTTTCAACTTCCTAAGAAGGCCAAGAACTTGTCTCCCCCTCCAGGACCCTTGAAGTACATATTTATACCAACTTCATTTACAAGAGCATTTGTATCTTCAACACATAAGAACACCTACCTATAAGTTAAACACCGAAAAAGCTTCCAAATAATAATTCAAAATCTTACAAGAAATATTGCGAAAAGCCCCCCCTCATCAAGGCAAGGGAATAAGTAATTTTATATCAATCTATGGACAGATACAGGTATATCTGTATGATGACCGAACATCTGCGTGTATTCTCGATTCGGAACACAGTTGTCTCCAGCTGCAGGAGTCGGCAGACTGAGAGTCTATGATGGTAGCTCAATAAAATTGACAGATCTCTCCGGAAAACAATAGAGAGGGCTATTAGAGGAAGCAAAGAGTATTCGGTACCCATCTGAAATCCCAGAATGGAAGATGCAAGGACAATAATAGTAGGAATCATGTGAGTTAGTGGAACAGTAATAGGATATTACATTTAAGCAAAAAAATAGACCTTGCCAAAGTAAGATACATTACTATTGTCAAAGTCAAGATGTTCTTTGTTGGTAGAGATTTACAAATGAATTGTGAAGCTATGACTGCAATTGCCATAGGAACTACGCACTCAGATACAACTGCCACCAGCAAAACACTGACACTACAACTATCAGATTCCGTATTTTCTGCTTTTGTTTAAGCATACGTTGTGCTGCATTTTTAGCACAAGCTACATGCATTCAAGTCCAAGGTTTTCTTCCAAAGTGACATAGTAACTCAAGTTTTACGCTTACGACCATGGAAGTCAATGTAGAAGCAACATACCAGACAAAAGCAGCAGGACTCCAGTTTGACGAGATCTACTTTTGGAAAAAATTCAAACTTTAAGCTGCATCAGAGCTCTGGCACCCACGAGCGGCCAAACCGCTCAGACAGACCAAGGCCAGGCTCTCATGCCTGGAAGTTAACATCCAACACCAAAGCTAAAAGCATGGCACCTTGGGGTAGGGG